CAGTAACACAGCTCTTGATGCTTCAGGTAGCACGTAGCAATAAGGGATGCAGGTCCCTTCCCTCCCCCATAGTTAAGCTGCTGGAGCAGTACTGCGGGGTGGCCCTTTGAGGCAGTGGGCTGGCCCACTTCTAGCTCCGCCCTTTCTGGGCTGTATAAGAAGGGAAACGGGGTGAGTCCTGACTGGCAGGGAGGTTGGAGATGTGCTGGACAGCTCCTAGATGGCTGCTGTAGGAGCAGAGGACTGAGACTACAGAATATGGTGGAGAAAGCTGAGGGACTGTGGATTGAAGCAGAGACCAGGATGGGAAGAGGGGCTGTTGATGTCCTGCATGGAGGATGAGAGACCAGCCTGTGGGGAGGTTCAGGTTCAGAGTCCCATCTCTTACCCAGGACCAGCTCTGGTAGGTACTAGGACTCCAGTAGGGCAGGGCTGGCTTCCTGAGAGGGGGTTGAGGGTCCAGCTCCCAAAACCTGTAGATCCCTAAAGATTCAGGTGGCTTTTGAGGGGGAGTGACTGGAAGTTGTGGGCCTGGCTTTGTGCCCTAATTTAAAGCTTCTGAAGATGGCTTTTGTGCTCCACCGTGACCTACTTGCACTGTTTGTTAGCTGGGTGCACTTCATTCTGCTGGGACTATGAAACTAGCCTGTGTTTCACATTTGTCCTTGGGGCATTTCATGTTAGTGAGCAGCTGCTATTAGTGGGATGAGTCAAACAGGTTTGACCAGACTAAACTTTCCAACCAAGACTAAACTTTCCAACCAAGAAATGAGCTTTCATTAGAAAGATGATTTGTTTGTGCGGTTGCGTGCTTGTTTGTATGGCTCTGTGTATGTGTGTGCATGTGCATCAGGGTGTAAGTATAGGTGTGTATGTGTTTTTTTTTCTTTTTTTCTTTTTCCTTCAATAGGAGAAATAACATTCTGGACCTACCCCAGCATCCGGTAGAGGCATTTGGGCTTCCAGCCAGGGGTGGATTAGAAATGGACTAGAGCCAGGTCCGAACCAAACAAGCCAGGACCAAGCACACTCGTGCATTATTTGTCAGCAGGGTCAGAGGTTTGGCCTTTCTGCCCTCAGCATCAGAAGCCCAGACCTCATCTCAAGGGCATATCTCTTCAACTCTGAGTTGTGATTCTCAGCCGTGGCACCGTGGGGTGCCTTAAGAATCTTTCAGAGCTGCCATGAGATGCCCACAATGTGAGCACTGTGAGGCAGGCAAACATGATTTACAAGATAAACTCAGAAATTTCAAGTAAGAATCCACAGTGTAGAAAGCAGTCTGCCCTGTTGTGGTCTTTCTGAGTTGTTTGCGACAGGAAAACTATTCTATTTTTCTGTAGTCAAAAATCAAGTGAAAGTGAAGAGCTGGCATTTTCCAAGGGGTGCCTTGAGACTAAAAAGTCTGAGAACCCCTGACCTAGAACCAGCCCCTAGAGGGCACCTAAACCAGGATATCACACATGAGCCTAACTTGAAGGAAGCTGAAGTTCTGAATCCAAACCATCTATTTCATACAAGCACTTGTATTATTTTTTCTAACTCCTTACACTGGGCTGGGAGGATCCTCTGGAAACTGTGCTGGACCAATCACTCTAGTGCTATATGGTGCTATCTTGCCCTATACAATGGGCAGAGAGCTAGCTGCCCAAAGTGCCTTGCACTTTTACCATTTTCATTGAGCCATGATCTGCCTGTGGATGCTAATTTCCCATCCAAACAGGTCAGTCCTGGGGCTCTGTGACCAAACAGGGGCTGCACTAGAGGTGTTGAATGAATGAATGAGCCTAAAACAAATGCAGAGTATGGGGAAGGGCTGGGCTTTTTGCTTGGGTAAAACACTGAATTTTAAAAATGTGCCTGAGGGGCATCTGGATCTGTGGGGTTTGGGACCTGAGTTTTCCTGACATTTGTTGTGAGTGGGGGTCAGTGCTGCAGTTGGTCTGGCCCCATCTCTGCCAGGTCATCTATGATGCTGCAAAAAGGGAAGCAGAGATGGGTTCAAAAGTTGAGTACTAGTGGAAGCTGAACAGCCAATGCTGCCTCCCCCGGGTGCTGGGCCTTGCTGCATATCCCCTGGCAATGCACAGTTATAACAGGCCTGACCAGCCACTGAACCGCAGCTGAATTGGACCAAATGCCTAAGATAAAGATACTCATCTGTCTCCCTTACCCCTGGGATGCTGGTGAGTGCAGAATGCAGGCTGGCCTGCCTTTGCCCTTGTAATGTCCCCTGTCCGCATTGCCAGGTTTGCTTGAGGGAGACAGGCCCACCCCTGTTTCCTCTGACTGGGCCAGGGTCATGGCCTCAGCACAAAGCAGGGACAGCAGGTGGCTTGGTTAGCAGGGAGCTCCCACTTTCAGAAACCAGCAGGCAGCATCTCCTTTGTCAGCCTTCTCCTTTGCTCTGGCTTTAGGGTTGTGGGATTACTCCAGGCTTTAAACTCAGACCTCTGGGCTGAGTCAGTGCATTATGGGATGGCTGAATATCTACACCCTGTTGGCTCTGGATTTAGGACCCAGAGGCCTTGTTCCTACCCCCAGATAACAGAAAAGAAGCAATACAAACAACCAATCAATTCTATATACCTACCAAATCCTAGGGTACAGAGTCATCAGAGTCAAAGTACATCTGGCCAGGATGCAGTCTTCACTCTGAGGCTGTTTCATAGCTGCCAGCATGTCAGCGGTCTGGAAGTGGGATGCTGAGGCCCAGTGGGGTGTATGAGATGGGTTGGTGGCATGCCCTCTGTCCATGGTGGCCTCGGGGACCCTCCAGGGGATAGGAACAGGGGCGGGGACCCCTCTCAGGGAGAAGGAGTAGGAACGGGGAGGGACCCTTTGTTATTCTCAAGTCTCTGCTTTTGTATTCTCCTTCCCTCCTGATGACTCTTCATCCATGGCTGTCTCTGGTTGGCTGTCTCTCTGTGGTCACACTTTCCACATACTGTGTCATCAACACATTCCAAGCCCATCACATGCACACCTACTCATTTTTTTCCCCTGGCCTTCTCCTAATTTGGTCTGTTCCCCCAAAATTGGGACTCATGCCCTTCCACTCTGGGGCCTTGTTAGCTGGTGCTAATTATCTCGTGTTATGGGACAGTATGGTATATGCTTCCAGTTCCCGGACTATTTTCTATACTATGTGTCCTAGTTGTGTTAGAAAACCTGTCTGCCTTGAAAGCTGTGAGAAACTTTGTGTGTGAGACCCAAGCTTTTAGAAATCAGTTAACCCCTGATGGCCATCTTACACAATTTTGATACATATATTTATACCTAGAAGCCACTTCCCAAAAAACAAACCTTTAGATACCATTTCTAAGCCAACACCCGCAATAGTAAGATCACAGGGTAGAAAATTATATGCCAGAGATGGGACCCCTGCCTGCCTGGTGCTGCCCTCCAGCAGAGAAGGGTCTCTGGAAGTTAAAGCCAGCCCTGGCACCCCAGTCTGACCGTGTCTCCTTTAGAGCTGCATACCCTCCGCGCATGTCCTTCACAAGCATCCTCTCTGGGGCCACAGGCATAGGTGTGAACACACAGGGGTATTCCTCTGGCTATGAGGCCTGCACAAGTCATTGGAGCTGCCTGCGTGTCTTGTGCCTGGGCTCTGAGAAGAACATTGTCAGAGGAGGAAGCTGGTCCCTGCTCCCTGCTGCCCATGGGCTGGCCTGCTGGAGTAATGACCACAGGCTGGCTGTTTTCTCCCCAGTCAGCAAGTCCTTGGCCAGGCAGGGTAATACCCACTTTCTCTCTTTCAGAGTGGCATGATGGTGTTGGTTATTAGTGATCTTGGTGGGGGAGATTGCTGGGTCCTCGCAGAATAGCTCCCGTGGCCAGGAGTGGGTGTGACTCCCAGCCCTGGCTCAGCCCGTGTTAGAAGGTGGCCTGTCCACTCCAGCCCTGGCCAGAAACAAGCCCAGGAAGCAGGAAGCTGTGAGAAAGGGAGGCAGATCCCACCTCCTCCTCCTTGCTGCCTCTCCCCATAACCCTGATGAAGTCAATGATCCTCTCAGTTAATCCTGGCACTAATCCCTGGGAGCTGGGGAGAGATTAGAGGATGATGTTCTCTCTCTGCCTTTGCAGAGGGGTTGCCCTTTGAGCAGAGAGGCGGCTTTGCTCTGGGATAAGGGCAAGTGCATTAGACCAGCCAAGGCCTGAGGGAGAAGATTGCTTCCCCACAATGGGTGTTATCCATCCCATTTCTGCCTGCCTCCCAGCCCCTCCTCCCCAGGGGCCCCAGCCTCTCCTTCTGCTCTGTGGACTTGTCCTTACCATCTAGAGCCAGAAATGTATGAAGCTGGGACAAGCTCCCTGTAAGTCGGGGATGGAGAGGTGTTTTTGCTGTTCCCGCTAAATGAGGTCTGTTGGCAGGTATGATCTGATATCCCAGAGCACACTCATGCTCACATACATCTTCCTATTCCTCATCTTAGTCCTTTGTCTCTTCCAAGATGATTATCTGCCCCATCTCTGGGACATCTTGCCCACCCCTCTGTGCTAGGAGACCCCTTGGTTCTCCTCAGACTGTCTCCAAATGATCTCTCCCTTCTTATTCCTGTAACATCTTAGTGATTTAGCTAGCAAGAGCCTGCCCAGGTACCCCATTGCTCTGATACATGGGGCAGTATCCAAGGCAAGATCTTGGGCCCTTTGGAGTCCATGGAATTTTTGCCAGGTCACCAGGCTGGGTTTTCAAAATCCCTTCCAGCCAGGTCCACCAATCCATGCCCCTTCTGTTAGATGAACGGGGGAGGGGGGTAGGCTGTATCTTCTCTTTACCCACTGCTGACCTTTCCCACTTGGCTAACAGTCATATAAAGATACCGGACTGGGTAACTGCTCTTCCTGGAGCAGATCACAACAGTGGCCCTTACTCCCATGGGGCAGCAATGGGGTCTAACTTCCATTTGGGTTAGTAGCAGCCATCCATCATTTCCCTTCTGCTGCAGTCCCTGCCTATTAACTGTCTAACCACATTGCTCCTTGTTTTTCAGATGAATCGCCCCATCCAGGTGAAACCAGCGGACAGTGAGGGCAGAGGAGGTAATTGTCTTTTTAATGCATGTGTCATATTAACCCTTCCCTGGCCAGCTTTGTTTTGGAGGTGTGTGGTTCAATGGCTTGTACAGGCAGTGAGAGGAAAGAGTCTTGGACTCCACCTCCTAGCACGTTTGTGTGTATTTGTACAGGAGGAAATGGAATGTTCCTCCTCTGTACCTTCACCATGGTGCAGTGATACAGAAACCCTTCTAAGCACTTGTTTGCATTACTTCCTAGTACCTATGAAGTACATGCAATGTGCCCTTCAAATATAAAAGTACTGCTGGTGAAATCTAGGTACATCACGTTAAGGTTTTGTTATCATTTAAGAATGCAAGTGTTGTCTGTACCCTATTAAGTTGTATAGGTGCAGATTTAGTTGTACTGGTGCTGTAAGAAAGGCTATACAGAGTAGACACTCCAGCATGCAAAGAAGTCTTTGCAGAGCACATTCTGTTACAGACTTCACAATGAACATGGTATTGTCTTGTGAGAATGGTAAAGGGCCTAGTCTAAACACACAACTCTTGCAGGAGCTACACAGGTGCTACTTGTGCTGTATGACGCATGCACTACATGTGCTTCAGATGAGGTCTGGATAGAGAGAGGAGGCACTTGAGGTTGTTAGTAGGGATCAGCGTGGGATCTTAAATTGGAAGACTTCATTGCTTGAGTTTAAGAAGCAGGCCTCAGTTTTTTTAAGGTATTTTCGTGCCTAACTCCAACTAAAAATCTAACTTGTGCCCATTAGCCAAGTGGCAATTGCAGACTAAAGGTATATCTCTTCAGGTTGATCCAGAGAGTTGCCCTTAACTTGTCCAGATCATGTGAGCCACCTGTCCCTTGTCTATACTCCTTTCCTGCAACTTTGTACCACGCACACAGGGAGAGACAAGTAGTGGATAGGCCAAGTTCTAGAAGGGTTCCTCTCAAGGCCATGGAGGACTCAATATACCCATTACCTATGTGTCCTCATGTGCTTGACTCTGATTACAGGCAGTAGAGACAAGATGCAGGCTATAGAATGGCCTGAAGTCAGGGGCTGGCAGACTTCTTGGCCTACATCCTATAGGGCTTCAGTGAAACTAGAGGGAAGTGCAGCTGATGAGAGAAGACTGGTGGAAGAGGTTGGGTCGGGGGGGCCTTTGTCTCTGATTCTCAGAAGAGCTTCCAGGGGAGGGGTTGGGCAGGACTGCCCCTGTGGTAAAGGGAGAAGCTAAGGAGTTTCTCATGTAGATGTCTGGTGGGTTTGGACTAGACAGCAGGGCTGGCAGTGGTCTCAAATTTCAGTGTAAGATGTACTAGTATTCTAATTAATCAGTGTATGTAATTCAGCCTCTACCTTAGCCTGGGTTGTATTAGCCAGAGCAAGCTTGTTTTGAAACGCTGGCAAGCTTTCCTGCCCTTCCCTCACACACTAAATGAAGATGCTCTCATTTATCACTATCAAACAGAACCAGCTGTTAGCTGCATCTGGCACTAACTTCCTCTGGCTATAACCTGAGTTTGGCTGGCCCCTGCCCTCTATGATGCTCCAGGGCATGGGGCCTTCTGATCATCAAATCAGGCTCTGACAGCTCAGTGCAACATTGGGGTCCATTTTGCTTGTACACCAGGTGGTTTTATACTGGCTTTTGCAGAAAGCTTACTTTCATTCCAGCATTCAGCTTCATCTTTGCTGTCTAGCTGAGTGGAAACCCTGGACATACACATGCTGTAGGTGACTGACATTATAGAAGTGCTATAGGTAACCTAGAGTGCCCAAGGGCTAGAGGAAATATGCTGTGGCTGCTCTGCAGGTCCGCAAGGGTCACAGGAACACGCCAGCAGCAGTGTGCTAAAGAGGCTCAAGAAGAAATTAGTCTTCAAGTGCCAGAGGGGACTGTGGACACCCAGTGGGTCAGGGCTCTGGACACTCAGCAGGCCTCAGCTTGCACAGTTCGAGGGCCTGGAGGTTAGCATGTGAATGGAGAGATGCAAGACCCCAGGCAGGGATGGAGGGGGCAGAGGCTGTAGAAGTCACTGAGGGAGCTGGCCTCCTCCTTTGCTGCAAGATGATGAGTTTGAGTCCTCTAGGAGAAGGAGAAGTACCCATAAGGCATTTCTCCAGCATGTCCCCTTCTTCCCCTGGGCCTACCACACACTTCTCAGCAGGGTCCACCAGTCACTGATCCAGCTTGGTAACCCAGGACCACAGACTTAGCCTCCCTTCTCTGCCTCACTTGGCCCTCTGAAAAGCATTGACAGTCCTTAGGCCCACGTTCCACAAAGAGCCAAGATCTGTAAAGCACAGGGAAACTCCTAAGAGGAAGTGCCTGTGTCCTCAGGCATGCTTCGTGTCCCGCCTGCTCCCTTCAGCTCTTTCTGCTCCTCCCTCTCCCAGGGCCGGAGCAAGAATGGGAGCTATGGGCTGGGTCTCTGCCCTGCCGAGCACCCATCTCCTGCCCGATCCCAGGCAGTGATTTATGTGGCAAGCACCAGCTGCAAGCACCGCTTCAGGCTCCCCCAGTCTCCTGTAAATCACACCGCTGCCCGGGCGCCCCATTCATTAAGCGCTGTCATGTGGGGAGAGGAGGGCAGGGGAGAAATCCAATCAGCAGAGCTTTGGGGAGCTGCCAGTCCAGTGAAAGAGACACATTGGAGCAGGCACTTCACAGGTGACAAATGAGGCCATTTGTCAGCTGGCCATTTACTGCTGGAAACCTAGCAGGGAAGGGACAGCAGCAGGGCCGCAAGGAGTGGGCAGCCCTGTCCAACCCTCTTGGCATTGCCCGCATTCCCACCTGGGACTCAGGAAGGGGCAGGAGGGAATATGAGGAGATCATTACCCCACATACTGACAACACCACACAACGTGCACTGACTGGCACACACACATATGCGGTTTCTAAACACATAGGTATGTACCACACACCTCACATCATACATACACACACACCCACCATCAAATACATGTAGCTACTGCATACACGTACGTTACATCGTACATGCATACATACCATACACCACTACACGTACCTAAAACCACCCCAACACCCTCAGACAACATGCAGACACCACACACACACTCTACTGTACACATGAGCCACACCATCTGTCTGGTAATAGTGAAGTGCTGTTGTCACCATGATGGTCCAGGAAATATGCAAGAGGCGAGGATTTTTGTGAGTAATACTTTTTCTTGGACCAACTGTATGGTTGCGCTAGACTTAGAGACAAGCTTTAGGGTGCCACAGTACCCTTCCTCAGATACTATGTTACCCAAAACCTTGTCTAACTCTCTCCCAACCATGCAGTTGGTCTAATAAAAGGTATCTCCCATGAGCATCTTTGCCCCTCACACCATTGGTCTGCATACCCACAGCAATGCCCATCTGCAGTCTTTGTATACATGCTTCTATGTAACCCATGCAAATGCACAGACTTGACAGAAACATGGACCCCTTCTGCCCAAATAGACACAGACATGTCCTCAGACACATGGACAACCAATCTGGCGTGTGGGTTCACAGTCACACACCCAGCTGTACAAATGCCTCCATCCTGGCAATGGGGGAGGAGCTCTCAACCTTGGGGGCAGTAGAGGAACTGAAAGCATGAGGCACAGCCCTTTAGTCTTCCTGGGGGTTCTGGAAAGCAGCATTACCTCTTCTACCAGAGATCAAAAGGACCTTTCCCTGCCCCACCATCAGAATAAGACCCCCAGGTGTTCCCCCCATTAACTCCCCTTTCAGTGTCAATACCCCAGACCATCACTCACCTAACAAGAGTCCCCTTGGGATCCTCTCCCTATCTGAGTTCCTAGATTGTTTGGTTTCTGGGAGCCTCAAAACATGCATAACTGCTGGGTTTCCATTTACAGTTTGATGCTGCAGAGTCCAGAAGACACACACTTCACAAAGCTGGGCCCAAAAATGATGCAACCAGTGAAGTCCGGGTTAGGGGGTCTGATTCAGTCCACTGTAGGGATAGAGGCCAAGTACACATTTGGCTCCATATGTGGTGTAGAACCTCCCTTTCAGTGCTGGATTCAGTTTCCAACCATCTCTGGCTTGGGTTCATCCAGGCCAATTTTCCCATCCTTGAAATAGCAAAGATGAAAATCCAAACTTTTTTGAAGGCATCTTCTGGACTTGCAGCAACTCTAAGGGGAAAACTCTACAGTCCAACTTTCACTGGGGGATTCATGTCTTGTCTAATGAGGGCATGGTGGTGTGGCAGGGCACATGCATACGGAAACATTTTGAATCATAAAGGGCAGAGGATATCAGGGTTGATCTAAGGTGCCTCTGTCACTTCAGCCTTCAGTTAGACCCAATTCCTCTTCCCCAAATGTCAGGGACCTGTGATTATGGTGTTTGATGCACTGCAAATGCAGAGATAAATGGCATAGGGATCAATAAGAACTTGGCCTTGGCCTGGTTCCCCATTGATTGATGAGCCCGTTCCAGCCTCTGTATCAAATGCAATTACTACCCAAGCAAAAGACCACTCCACAGCTTTGCTGCTGTGTCCCTCACCCAGGCAATTCCAACGGAGCTGAATGCTGCCTTGATGAACAGACTGGGCCTTCCACCCTTCCCAAGAGGATGACAACTTCTCCACTAGGATTGGAGAATATCCAAAGGGTTAGAGGAGCACTTGGAGAAGAGCAATGGTCCCAGGGTTTGGAAGCGGAAAAACTAAAGTTCAGTTCCAAAACTTCTGCTGCAGACTTTTTGTGTGATCTTTGGGCCAGATACACAACTGTATTACATTCCTAATTCTTATGATTTTAAAGGGAGTTAGTGCCCTAACTATTTTTGAGGATCTGGGCCCGTTGCATCAGTTCCCCATCTCTAGTGATATAATAGTACTTGTCCTAGGTCAGATATCAGGAAAAGCTTTCTCACTGTAAGCCTGGTTAAATGCTTGAATAGATTACCTGGGAAGCATGTGGAATCCTCTTCACTGAAGGCTTTAAAAAAGGTTAGACAAATATCTGTCTGGTTTGGTTTGGGTGA